TTTTACAATGAAATAAATCTCATATATATACGAATGCTAGAAATCCTAATAAAATGTAATTGTGTCATAGAATATTGTCAAAGTTGGAAATAAAATAGAATCCAAGACCAATAAGGAAATCTCGTGAAAATAGGAAAATTTTGCCAACTTGTTCTCGGCATGTTTCTGTTCGATCACAAGTCCAAAATTATCATGAGCTCGCGAAGCCTTTGCAGAATTTCGTGTCATTCCGGAATGTATTCATGGGCGAAAATCCGACAATCGAGCTGAAAGTTATGCCTGTTTTCATCCACGCTACTCGTTTTCTTTCCAAATATCTGCCAAACCTTGAATCCAATTCGTTTCTACTCCTGAGCCCCTCACGAAAATTGAACCTTGGCTTGTCAACTTATTTAATTTGGACTCCAAAACTCGACCAAGTAATTGCCTATCCCGGATCATATCAATTTTATTAGAAAATTCTCCCCGACCATCATTGTTTTCATGACAGATGGTAATTGGAGGTTGTGGAATATTTCCGAAGTTCTATGCTTAAAGAGACATTAGTCTGTCGTTCAAGAACCCAGTATTGAGAAACTGGTACTGGGGAGGTTCTTTAATTTTCTTATTCAGCCATGACTTCCCATTGAAAGCTTCAGAATGTCAATATCCGGTCTGATAAGGTCTCTCATTCTTTGTAAATTGTAAATTTTTGTCTCTTGATCCCCATGGCTATGAATGACTTGGAAAATGTTCCTGTTTCTTTTGCATGAGAGAGAGAGATAAAAAGGGCAATTATAATTGGAGCATGATCACAAAGGGTGAAAAGTCTCTTGAAGACCATGATCACAAATGGTGAAAGGTCTCTTGAAGACTAATTTCTTTCTCAGTCTTATTAAGGTATGTTATGTACATCTAATGGAACATCTTATCCATTATACGAAACATGTTCGAGAAGTTCCTAACTCCTATTGTCCAACCTTGGATATAGATCTAGTTTAACTAAGGCTGTGTTTGATTGGAGCCATTTTCCTTGGTAAGTGGAAAACCTTTTCCATTTCCATCCAAAATGCCTTGTTTGATACAAAAAGTTTTCTTGGCATTTGTAATTCCAAGTTTGGCTCACACTGTGGGTTTTCAAGGATTTCAAGGAATTTTCCAGGTTTATGTCTTTTGCCTTTATTTTTTTTTATTTTTTTATTTTTTGGTTTTTGCAATGTAAACAAATTCTATACACAATTGTGAAAAAAAAATTATCTTTAATGNTTTTTTTATTTTTTGGTTTTTGCAATGTAAACAAATTCTATACACAATTGTGAAAAAAAAATTATATTTAATGGACAATTTTCATGAAAAATAAAGTCAAACGAGTACCAAAAGATTCAAATTTTCAACATTTTTCAGGTGCCAATCAAACACAATTAATTACAATTCCTAGTAAAACAATTTCCAGGCAATTCAATTTCCTGGAATTCATTTTCTTTCCACTCATTTTCCACGTTTACAATCAAACGGACCCTAAATTCAAAGTCAATTTTTCAACAAAGGAATAAATCATTGGGATATTTGAAAATATGAAAGGGGGAATTTTATATCTTGTTCTAACCTAAGACGTGTATACATCCAATCAAATATCACTAGACACTTTGTTACTCACTGTGGCCAACATGGACAACCCCACAAATAAGGACCCTAGGAATTGGCCATACCTGATAGGCCAGTTGAGCAATCCATCGGCCATTGTCCTTCGTGGATTGGCCATGCCATCCTTTCGTATAAAAATCAAGTTTCTCCACAATTGAAAAAGAACTGGGCTATTGAGCAAAAACTACACCTATAACTGTTACATTAGATTGCACTATCTTCATCCTTTCATATGCTAAAATGGAAGGATGGCACGTGAGTATATACTTCAACATGAATCACAGGACTGTTCTATAACAAAACTGCCCCCCTCCCCCTCGTACAAGCTTCAAAGCAAATTACACAAGGGTTGATTAGAAACCTATGCCCGTCCATAACTTAGCATTTATATCTTGCTTAGATATGATAATGGAGAGGATATACAACAAACGCAAAAGCTTCCACTCCTCTAGCCCCTACTCGTCTAACTTGAGCACTAGCCAGGTAATATGGGCTGGAGATGAATCAAATTCACAAATCCTGTTGAAACAAGGAACAAATATCAATTCCATCGAAAAACTAAAATTCAACCCTTACCCTCACGGTGACTGAATTTATTTTTTCATCATGTAAACTAGGGGTGGGCATTTTTTCCCAGAACCAGACCAGAACTAGATAGAACCGGTCAGTTCTGTCCGATACCTCTACTAAATGGGTCAATTTTGGAACCGTATGTTGAGAATCGATCGATTCGGATCCGATTATCGGTATTGCCTTGAGAACCAATAGTAAATTTGGTTCTCCCGAATTTCTCTTTTTACTTGCATTAAGATGCACTAGATCTTTAAACACTAGATCCAAAAATTATCTCACATTAAAATTTTATTTTTCATACGCTTCTTCTTTCCTTTAATGGGTAATCAAAATTAAATTTTAAATAATTTTATAAATACTTTACAAATTCATAATTTTGATGTAACCCAATAGAAAAAAATATTTTTAGTTCAATATGTCATAAGAATTCAAATTTCTCATTGTTTTCAAAGTGATCGGCCATAAAAAATAAGATCCTTGAGGATTACTAAAAATAATCAAGTTATTGTTATATGAATTTTTGTAAGCATTAATTTTCCATCGAAATTTTACCATTTATGATGCGTTACATAGTTTATTCTTTTTCTCCTTTTTGAGTTGATCTTGAGCTTTGGAGCGAATTTTTGTTTGTTGTCTTGTTTAATTGATTTTTTTTATATTGATAAATTACAAGAATGATGAGTGATTTCATACTCTATTTTTATCTATTTTTTAGTCTCACAAGTAGTTTCATACTTTATTTTTATAATTTTTTAATATAAAGAATCGAACCGGACAGGACCGAATCGAATCAGAGTCATTTGATTCAGTTCTATAGTTGGACATGGAATCAATGATTCCATTTCTAAAATTTCCATTGATATTCAGTTCGGTTACCTTTAAAATCAGACCGAACCAAATTGCGCCCACTCCTAATGTAAACTTTTTACAATTGGATAAGGTTAAATCTTGACACAAATCTAACTTTCATGGCAGAAACAACGAAGAAATTTCCTTATAAATAATTGTGATATCAAGTGATAATACAGAAAAAATCTTCAAACAGCAGAACACAAATACATACGAACAAAAATGAATGAAGACATTAATGACAAAAAAAGGGAACTTCTAAGTCGAGTTTCCTCGTATCTTTCATTCGTTTTCCAGCTGTTTCGTACAGAACATTTTTGTGAAGATCACATATTCATATGTTCCAACTTCAGATGAAATTTTGGGGTTTCCTGCAAACCTTTTCGACCACATCTAGCTGTCTATCCAAGCCTTGGCTTTTCGACGTTGCATGATTTCCTTTGCTTCATCACTGTGTCTCTGTGTCTTTCACTCGAGATGTGCAAACTAAAAGTCTATGTTAAACCCCTTTTTTGGGGATCATATCAGGCTCTATTATAGTCTTATTACCAGTGCCTAGTAAGTCGTCACAACTTGTGCTCTTGCAGAAGCACTCTCGAGGATTTGCGTAGAAATAATCTTCTTCTTTAGGCTTGTCAGCAATCCTACGATGAGCTGGCTGTCCCATTTTTCTCTCATGTGCCAGTCGTACCGCATCTGAAAACTCATCCCAGGAAAGTGTCCCATTCTGATGTAAATCCAACAATTCTACAAGCCTTTTCCGATCTAAATGGATGGTTTTTTTGAATCCAAGATATCTGGAACAAATTGAATCAGAAGTATCAACCAAATATTGGCTAATCAATCGATATAGATAAGAAAATATGCAATATAAACATTTGTATATAATACCTTCGATGACCTTCCACGACTCTTGCCATGTTCCCATCATAAGTTGGAATAAAAGTATTACTGGCAACAGAAACCATAAAATCCAGGGCCGCCATTTGTGATGAATGATTCCGGAACAGCCGTATATCTTCTGGACCTAACAGCATTTCCTTTTTCACCTAAAACAACAATGACAATGACATTTAGAGAAACTGTAAGTACAAAAAAGAGTAAATAACCATCGATTTTAACAGGTTGACAGGGTATTTAAAAATCCTATGCAAAATCTGTCATCTACATCGTTTCACATTCTGTATTGCCCATCCTTTCACTATGCAAAGTCAATCAGATGAAGTGGCATACTCGGCATAAGGTAATTCCATAGTCCATTCATGCCCCTGACTAGCTTACTAAGACTTCCAGGTGAATAGGCTGGAAGACAAATTTAAAGATAAATAACCTACTCATTTCCCATAAAGCAAGTAACCACGTGTCAGGTGGTTACCTATTGGTCCCTTTTATCTGGATCCAAGAAGCCGGATAAAAGGTATTCTGTTCCCCAGAAACATACTTGCACAAGATGTGAAAAACATTGATCACCACCTGCTAAATGATTTCCTCCAAACCCTATATTATAAAGGAAGGGAAGGAAGAAAGAAGGATGAAGTTGCAGCACTCACAATCCTTGGGAAGGTGGCCCTTAGAGCTTCAAGTCTCCGTTCACTGCCGAAGATTTCACCCGATGCAATATAGATCTGTGTGGTGTTAACAAAACCCAATGCTTGCAGAATCAAAGCCGTTTCCTCTGGGGTAAGAGGACATAAGCCTTGAGATCTCCTCTCTTCTGATACTATCTCTTTCTCCCTCCACCAAGGGAATGCATACCTGAACTAACAACGAAGTCAAGAAATGTAAAAGGAAATATGTAAGCAAGAAAACTAAACAGCTTCCTTTAGCAGGACAAAAGTGGTAAAAGATGAAACTGTAGCATTGCAAAATATAGAATAGAAAAATCAATATATTTGAGCATCATCATTGTAATCAACTGTCTTTATTATTGTTGCTCTTGTTCTTGAGTAAATTAGTAGTTGAATTTAAAGCAATTTATAATAAATAGCTAAAACATTCTTCTTAGATTGTTTGCCCAAAATGATATTGTTCAGATTCATATTTACTTAATATTACAAATGACTGGCAGATAAATAAGGGGTGCTTAGAACACCTAATGAAGTTTCAGCTTCAAATTGGCAACTGTTCTATAACACTTGAGAGTAATTGCAGGTTGCGCTCATTTCAGAGCAAGTAGCAACCTCCGAGTATCAGATCATGCAATTAAATAGATATACTTCACAAGTACATTTGCTTTTGAATATTAAAAATCAATAAGTGTTTCATTAAAGATTTTAGTCCCCTTAAAAAGGTAACATGGATAAGTCAAAAGCTTCAATATTATGGTTAAGTAGCCTCATTGGACTTGGAATCTTGCTAACCTTAATGCTGGTTTAATGGGGTCTCTCTTAAGTAGAGTTACTATTTTCCGAGCATTGAACTGGAAGCAAGAAAAGGGGGGAAAAAATGGCTGTGCGCGCGTTTCATTCATCTAGAGATAACGTGGGTAACTCTTCATATTTCATATCCAACATTTCATCTGTAGTATAAAAAATTTCAATAACATCCATTAACTACAGAAAAAATTTTTTAAATTTGAGTAACTTAAAGAATCTATCTTTTACGTCCGTGAACACATTCACACGCGTGGACTTACTGATATCAATAGAAAGATGCACAAACAACCTGATATTGTCATCATGAGGAATAAAAATAAAATAAAATGATCCAAGCAAATCCATTTTTAATGATGATTCAATTTCATCAATCAATTACCTTAACCGTTTGAGTTCCTCAGCTTCCTCTTCGGAGCAACCACGAGTACAGCCTGAGAAAGCTAACATGTCCATCTCATATCTTAGATGCAATGCTAAATATGGACCCTTCTCTTGAATAATACGTACCAACTTGTTTCCCAGAGCCTCAATCTCATGTGTAAATTTTAGTGCCTGGAAATTGACACGACATCTGAGTCTCTGAAGTTCAATAGAGATCCCATTGTTTGCCAGTCGTGCATCTGTTTTGTTGAAGTGAATCACCCTATGCTTGCTGAAGAGAGGCAGAATCTGCAAAATCAACTCTGAAGCATCAGAAAAGAATTACCAACTGTATTCAGTGCAAAGGCTTACCCAAGACTAGCATAACAGGATCAGATACATCTCCAAAAACAGCAACTGTTGAAATATTCTCTTCACTTTGTAAAAACTTTGAAGAACTATTTTTTATTAGCAACAGATGAACTCCATTGTCAGCTCTCTGAAATTATGTTGTTGAACTACAGAAAAGCACTCATTCCTATTGAATTTCTAAGAACCTGAGCATCTTTCTTGTTGATTTGGTTTTAAACAAAATAGTTAAAATTCTGATGCATGTCACAACCTCTATCATCAGCATAAAATGTTTAGCAACAATATTCATTGCCTATGAAATCATCAATGAATGCACAAGACGCTTGTGTACACAATACGACAATCTAAAAAAAAAAAAAAATGCACACAAACCTGTTGTAAGTAGTATTTCTCATTTGACCAGCTAACAGGAGGCATTACAAGTGGTTGATATTGATATCTCTGGCTAAACTTCTTTGGCAACCTTTTAATAATACGAACCTCATCTCTTAATGAACCAATGAAATGTCTCAAATCAAAAATATCCTCAAAATTGCTGCATGCCAAAAACAACTCAGCTTTTGACTATGTAGATTTATATATGAGTAAGTACAAATACATGCACACACAATACTTCTCCATAGCAATATATACCTATGATCAGCCCAGAATGAAGTCTTATCAAGCTCTGGAATGACCAAAGTAAGATTTAAAAGCCGAGCAATTGTCACCATGTCACAAATCTAAAAAGTAGGTAGCTAAATTAGTCAGAGTGAACATAGACATGAGTAATTCACACAGGGATAAGGAAATAAATAAATACAAACCGCAGCACGCATTTGATTCAAGCCACCATTGCAAGAGACTTTGAGAAAACCATTACTTGTGTATTCCCCTGCAAAAAATAATGGTGGTCAAGAAAGTACAATCACAAATTCTTTTCAATGCGATGCTAGCATAAGCGTGTAATGCATCCAAAAGAAGACAGAAAATAATTCTAAGGCTTTTCAATAGCTGACATGATTTCTTTTATTTATTTAAAAAATAGCGAGTCGTGTTTCAATGGTAACTTCTTACAAGATGATAGGTTTGTCCCTCAACTTTTCTTATATATATCTGCACAGGGAAACTTGAATGAGAAGACTTCACAAGTATAATCACAGAAGAAATGGTGAAAATAACTCATTTTATTTTCATTTTCCATAATATTGAACTGTTTTCAAGAACTTTTGAAGAATACTTTTACTTTAGTAAGACAAATTCAGAAAAAATCACTTTTATTTAACTTTTCTTTAAACTTCACTTTCCCTAGCTCACCTCGTTAGTTCTCCATATTTGAAATTGCACTTCAAGATACCAAACCAAATATATCCAACAACTAACTTAAGATCTGAGCCTTGTGAGGGAAACGAGAACAAAAATAAGGAAGCACTCCACTATATTTTAAACTATCATTCCTTTTTAATGTAATACAACTGTTTCACTGAAGAACATTTTTATATTGACAATTGACCTTATGCAATTTTGTTCTATGCATAACAATAAAATTGAATCCTTTCCATATTTGACGGATGGCCAGAGTAAATGCTAATCCTGGGTCATGGCTTCACAAATGCTAGAAATAATGATAGGTGAGAATTTTATAAAATTCCCGAATCCAAGACTGTTTCACAACCTTATCCAGTTGAGGTAAGAATTTATAGGCTCATAGACAACATAAAATCGAAATGCATCAATTTTCACATCACTAATTGGACTACAAACACCAGTCATATCAAACGTGCAATCACATTTTATTAATGATGTTAGGAAACAGACATAATTTGACACTTTTTCCTTGGTACTATACAACACTTAAGCTTTGCTGAAACTAAGTAACTTACCCACATTCGAGAATCATTTTAACTGAAAATCATGTAGTCTTGACTTTCTACCTATGTAGAACTCGTAAAGATATAATCTCCAACCACCTCAAAGGAAATTAAAAGAGCACTCAGTATCGCACAATGAGATTATCATTAGCTTCACCTACTTTTTGAAGTCTTTACTCGGGACGATTACTCTACATTCCAAATACCCTTCAACAACTCAGAACATAAAAAGATTGCCTAGAAAGCAAATGCTCCTAAGATAGAAATCCACAGTCACAACTAGCGCCAAGTAGTCAACAACGTACCATCTTATAAACAAGTTCATTTTAAGTAAATAGTACTAGAGAGGATTGTAAAGTATAACTACCAAGTATAACATATCGCAAGAGCAATTAGAGCTAAAGGAGGTTACTCACTGGCTGGAACAAGGGGTGGGGGCGAAGAAGGCAACGGGTCTTCAACACGAACCCACATTCTCGTGGAGCCAGCTAATCCGGTAAGCAAGCGGGGGTGCCACATCTCCCCAACGGAGACAAGCTGAAGCAAACATGCCCAAACTAAAATGCCAGAACAGACCCTAATGAACCAAACTTGTAGCCTTCTTGTCCTCTGTATCATCTGCCCCTGCAATTGTGGCAATTTTTCCCCAACCCTCATCGCCACCTCCAACTAATCATCCCCAAATCCCACCCCAAGAATTAATCTTGATTATTTACAACCTATATATGTAATATGAATACATACGCATTTATATTACGTATAAGTACACAAGTATTTTGTGGGTTCATTAAAGATTGAGATTTTAAATCAGATTGAGTGATTTGAGTGTGAGGAATTTTTGAAAAACTGGAAATTTCGGCTAATTAAAGAATTGGGGTACCTGAGAGACAGAAACCAAGGGAAATCCAGGGAGAGAAGTGGTTGAGAGAGCGGTGAATTTCACGAGGGAAATTACTTAGAAATTAAATGAGGAGCAACTTTCCCAGTATTATAATTTATCAAATTGAAAAAACATCGATTATTTCTGGGGGAAAAAAGGAAAAAATAAATTGCTTGTTTGGGAGGGATTTTTGGTGGAAGGATTGATTATGAATAGTGATATGATGAGAAATACATGGTTGAAAACGAAAAAAAAATTTGATGTGATGTAAAATATTATTTTATTGAAAAATGTGTACTTGAAAATGAGAATTGATTTACTGTAAAATTTTGAGAATCCCCACCAAATAAGGCCAAAATATTGTTCTTGATTTGGTGTTGGAGTGGAAATGGTGGCCAAATGATGAGGATATATGAATAAATAAGGGTGCGTTCTCTTTGCTGTTTTCGGGCCATTTTCTGTTTTCGATTTTTCAAAACGGTGAAAACGCGTTCTCTTTCTTATTTCCGAAAACGCATTTTCGAAAACGAAAAATTTTTTTACACTGAAAACGCCAAAACGACTTTTCAGCGTTTTGGCCGNCTGTTTTCGATTTTTCAAAACGGGGGAAACGCGTTCTCTTTACTATTTCCGAAATCGCATTTTCGAAAATGAAAATTCTTTTTACACTGAAAACACAAAACGCTGTTTTCCAGCAAAATCAAGCAAAAATAGAAAACGCAGAAATGGAGTTACTGTTCAGTCTTCCTTCCACAATTATCTCATCTCACCGGTTTCTCTCCTCCAACGCCGATGACCACCACTGCACTACCACCGCACAAATCGCAGATTGGAACCAGAAGCAAAATAAAAATGAGTTGCACCCAACCAACCACCGCGCAGCCAAAAATCGCACCACCACCACAACCAAATTCGCACCCAACCATCGTTCATAGAGAGAACCAGAAGCAAAATTAAAAACAAAATGGAGAAAAGGAGTCGCACCCAACCACCGACGCAGCCAAAATCGCACCCCAACCACAGCCAAAATCGCACCTAACCACAACCAAATTCGCACCCAACCACCGTTCACAGAGAGAATCAGAAGCAAAATAAAAAAAAAAGGGAGAAAAGGAGGCGCACCCAACCACCGCCGCAACCAAAATCGCACCCTAACCACAGCCAAATTCGCACCCAAAATCGC